AGAAATATTTGTCGAAGAACAAGAGAGCGGTATAATTTGACATCCCCCACCCCATCCCTAGTGTTGTACTTGTATATGACATATCTCTGCTATAGGAACCAATGGTTTGCCAAAATGGCCGCTATCCTCTAGAATACAAATAAAGTTCATGAAGCCTTTCTTCAGGGAGTTCTAAATCTTCTCATTCAAGCTCATCAACGGTCCGAAAACAAACTCTCAGAAAATCGTACTCTGTTGCATTAGGAGTTATATGTGTTTACCGGTTCTCTGCCACTATGTAAGAATTTGAACACAAACCCACAACTTTTGTACATTGTCAAGAACAAGTACTAAAACTTGGAATAATATACAATAAAATGAAAACCCCGTTTACCAAAAACACGATTAGGTGACTCAATGCAGGAAAATATACACCCTATTCTAGAGCAAAATTACCAATCTTCGCCATGGAAGTCTGTATATCACGCCCCTTGGGAAACCCGTGGTGACACACTCTGGTGAAACACGAGTGGCTGTGTGGCAACGTTGTATTTTCATTTTTTTTAATAATAAAGGCACAGATATTTCTTAAATGTGTAAAAGTTTATGAATGTTGTGGTCTGAAACTTGAATGCTTTCGAGGTGAATAATAATTATTACTTGTACTAACAAAATCGTTTAGTATAGCGCCACCAGTAGTCCAGTGTTTCCCTGCTTAGGTTTGGACTCGTCCATTCAATTTAGGAGGTAGACTATCAAATGCAGCAAATGTCAAACTTATAAGAACGGGTTTCCATTTTTATTATTTCATTCACATTCAATATTACAGCGTTAGTTGATTATTGTTTGTTATTTACAACAGGGAACACCGATTTCCGAGTTCATGAAAAACTGTTTGTATATCTGTCCAGTATCCCATGGCAACAGGACCATACGAGTAGGCAGGTCCGCCATATTGGATTTTTGTGTTTACAAGTACTGTAAGAGAGACTGGGTCGTTGCCGGGATTTCGCTGACATTATACGCTTTACGAAAAAACACAATCCGATCGGAGAGAGGATAATTACAGGTAATGTTTTCTACATGCTCTGGTGTATTTTTATGCTACATATGTCTAAATGTCGTGTGATTTTGTGAGTTCGTCTTCATCGTTGAGTTCCAGTGTACAGTGTAGTCGTTTTCCTGCCAGGTGTCTTATTACTTAAATTTGTCATGACACGTTCGTTTGATTACTCTTGTGTATGAATAACCCACCAATAGTTACTATTGTAATGAAATGAACTTGGTGTATAGTTTCTTCTGTTTTAGAAGATCTGATTTGGTCCCATGTTGCACTTAGCCGTAACATGGTGTACGTTATTAGGCCAATCCACAACTGCATCAAGAACTACATGGTTCCACACAAGCTATCATGAAATGTTCTGACAATTGCAACGAATAAAATAACTAAAACACATATATCATTCCTCAAATTTACCCCGATGGTTTCTTGACAAAATCACAAGTGACACTGAGAGTTAATAATAATATTATTGGTAGCTCAATTGTCTACATGGCCAATTCAGTCCAGCTGCTGGTCCACCTTGAGATATACAGACATCAAAAGCAGACGTAACCAGTATTTCCAAACATTTCTTCTCTTTGATTTTTGACTTATCAGACTGAAACTAAAAAGAAATCAAAAGACTCATAATTTTGTTTTCAAAAATGGTACGTGTACAATCCAGCAGTAACATGATTAATTGAGTTACAAACAATAGGGTATTGTTATATAATACTGTCATTGTCTATGATTTGTCTGTCTGTCTGTCAGGTAAACTTATTTTTACAATTTTTAAGTCATAATAAATAGACCATGAAATAATTTTCCCATTGCTGGATCCATAGCGTGATCTAATAACAACTATGGCCACTAGAAAACGCTGAAGTGGTTAGGATTATGGTAAGGTGTGAATAGTCCCTTGTAACCCTTCTGCAGAGGTGTATTTCACTCTTAACTTTGACCAACAAAAATGTTGTAAATGAAAGGACGCAGAAAACCACTCAATTTTGAAAATCATTTGGAAAGAAGGTAAATTTATCAACTGCAGTACATAATTTACCTTCATTTGTTTCTGTGTACAAGTAGTCAGTACCCTCATTATCGTTATATAAATCGAAGGAAATAGAAACCCCCCTCCCACACACAAACACTCGAAAATGCTGAACATGTACACGACCAGCATGGTAGGATTAGTGTAATGATGGTGCATTTGATTTTTTTTGTCAAAAAATACTTCTATAAAAGCATCTTAAAATATATCATGACATCTAATAATCTTTTTTTTTTTACTTAGTTCGAGAAAATGAATTCCAGGGTGTCTACCTCGGGTAGCAGACCACGTGGAAGCGCTGGTTGGCGTTTCTCATCAAACAGAACACCTGGAGGAACACCGAAACAAAATGGAGATGGTCCCCGCTATCCAGAAATCAGGCAACGAGGATATTACTCTGATATATTGGACAGAGATGCACAACGTGAACTTGGGGTGAGTTTTAATTACATGTTTGTCTGCATTTTTAGCTATGGTTACAATATCGCAAACATTAAATTTTTTTCAATGGAGCAGCAATAAATGACTAACCATAATAACTATTGCAATTGACTTGCATGAAATTGTAACATATTTTCTTTTGGTGAAATATTTACATCTACATGTAATGTTTTTAATCATTTTGCTCATCAGATCAGATAAAAATGAGTATGTCACAGATTTGTTTGTTTTATTTTAAGATTGAATTTTAGAAAAAGTCATAGAAAAAGTTTTGTAATAATTTTATAACTGATATAAAATTATTTTCGAAAACATATTCAGTCATCTTCACACAAGCAGTGGAGAAACATCCTCTGCATTTGGGAGAATTATAAATGGCATGTTACAATTTGCAATTTTC